GGTGCAGGCGCTGGTGCCGCAGCAGGTGCCGGCGGTGGACGAAGCTGCGGGCGCAGAGCGGGCAGGCGTGGGGGCGCTCGCCCGTGTGCGTGAGCTGGTGGCGCACCAGGTGGGTCTTCTTGCGGAAGCTCTTGGCGCAGCGCTCGCAGGGGAAGGGCCGCTCACCCGTGTGCACGCGCTCGTGCGAGCCCAGGTGGATCTTCTGCGAGAAGCGGCGGCCGCAGTGGGCGCAGGCGAAGGGGCGCTCGCCCGTGTGCACGCGGGCGTGCCGCGTCAGGTGCGCCTTCTTGCCGAAGGCTTTGCCGCACTGGGGGCAGGCGAAGGGGCGCGGGCGCGGGGCGTGGGGGGGGCCGGGCAGCTCGCAGCGGGGGCAGCCCAGTGCCTTCTCCTCGCTCAGCAGCTGCCACTGCTGCAGGGCCAGGCCCGACAGCTCCCCCAGGCCGCCCCCGGCCCCCCGGTACTCCTCGCCGGCCGCCAGGCCCTCCGCCTTGCAGGCGCCCCCGACCGGCAGCCCCGAGAGCAGCACCTCGGCGCTCAGCCTGGCCGGCCACTCCGCGTAGTCCTCGGCCTCCACCTTCACGGTCCGGATCAGCCACTCCCCTGGGGACGGAGAGCGGGGTCAGGGTGGCGCCGCAGCAGGGTCGGGTGGGCCGGCAGGGCGGGGGTGCCCCGAAGGGCGCCCAGCAAGGGCTCCTCCACGGGGGGCAGGAAGGACTCCTCCCGCTCTGCCAGGATGCCAGGGGGCTGGGGCATCTGAGACGAGCAGGGCGTGAGGGGCAGGGGGGCAGCCCCACCCTCAAGGCCGCGCCATTTCTGTGGTGTGACCCCCACGGCACCTGCCATGGGGCGGCCTCCTGGCCTCACGGGGATTCCTCGGTGATCTGCAGCCTTCCGACTGCCCGGGGGGTGCTGCAGGCCACAAGAGGGCTGATGGGGGGGCGGGGAGGAGTGGCCTTGGGGGGGGCCCACTCGTGGCCACCCAGCCCCTTCGATGCGCGGGGGGGGCTCCTGACAAGCACCGCAGCCCCCCGAAGCAAAGCTCTCTGTGCCCCACACATGCATCAACGCCCAGTCATGTGGCACGAGAGGCATGCACTTGGCATACGCTCAGAGGCCCTGTGTGCAGGGCTGCCATTTCCCCTGGGCCAGTGTCTGGAAGCGAGTTCAGAGCCGAGCCCCGTTCCAGAAGCAGAGGCTCCGCTGGGCAGGGGCGCTGCGTGATGCTCTCTGCCTGTCCTCGGGCCCTTCTCCTTCGGCGCACCCCGTCAGCCCTTCCCGGGGGAATCGCATCCCGACGCTTCGCTGATGCGTCTTGTGCGGCCCCGGCTCAAATGGGCCTTCCGAGCCCCTAACGCCGAGCAGGCGGGGGCTGCAGAAGGGGCCGGCCGTTTCCCAGCATCGGTGCTGTGCGCAGCCCTTGGCTAGGCTGGACCGCGGGGAGGGGCGGTTGGATCCATCCCGGAGGCGCCGGGCTGGGCAAACGTGGCAGGCCGACGTGGGCCCAGCCCTCGAGACGCAGAGGGTCGCGTGCCGGGGCCCCCCCGATCTGCCTGCCCCACAGGCGGGAGGCCGCGGGCCTTACCTGGGCAGCCTCTCTCGGGGCCCCTGGGGTCTCCGGCCTCTCCCTGCTCCTCCACGGGCTGCCGCGGCAGCGGCGGCTCATTCTTCGCAGTGCCCTCGCTCTCCGGCGGCACGGACCCTGCTGTGGGGAGAAGAGCGCATGGGGGGACGGTAAGATCCGCACGTCCCCCCGACGATCTCAGCCGCGGGGCCCGCCTGCTGCGCCCCCGCCTCTGGCGCCTTGGCCCTCTGCTCCCCTTTCAGAGAGCCGGTGCTTTGCTCCTCAGCTGTTTGGGGGTTTGCTCGGCGGACGCTCGTTGCACGGGTGCAGCCTCCAAGGAAAGGTCTGCCGGATCCGGGCAGGGCCTTCCCCGTGTACGTCGGAACTTCCGCCTCGCTCCATTTTGGCCTCTTCTCCGGAGGTTCCCGTCCCTGCGTCTGGGTCCAGGCCCTCCGGAGCGGAGACGGCCCGTTCCGTCTTCGCAGGCTGAACCAACGTGAGGGAGCAATCCAGATCGCAACATGGGTGAGAAACGTTTTTGCGGTGGACACGGGCGGGTAAGGCCAGCCGGCGCGTGGAGGACGGGGGCTGCCTGCCGTCCTGCGGGCAAATTGTGACTTGCCGGCTTCTTGCAACGGAGGCACTTTTGGTCTCTGGGGCTGGGCTGACAGCTCCAGTGTCCGCCGGCACTGGGAGCGCTGGGGAGGCTGGCCTGGCCCAGGAGCCACAGTTCCCCGCATGGTCACTGGGGGAAAATTACAGCGTACAGGGTGGAAGCGGCACGGAACGGGGAGCCCGGTGTCCCCTGCTGCCTCATCAACAGGTTGTCATTTCGCCACCTGTGTGGGTCACACCTGGGCGTCTTAACCGCATCATGTTTAGCACAAAAGAAAACCTGCTTCGCGCCCCTTGGATTTCACGGCGTCTCTTTAAGAACGGCTAGTCTGATTCGGGTGAGCGCCAGCGGTGCGGTATGCCACCGCTTCTCCTGAACACGTCGGCAGTGCCCAGAGGCCGCCTCGTCTGGGGAGGAGGTCGTTAGCAGGGCACAGTTTGGACTGAAATAGTCTCTGTGCTCTTTTAAATGGCCCACTGTCCGTGTAAACAGGTTCAGCGTGTCTCTGGCAGCCGGAAGATGGGTGCTGGAACATCACAAGAGTAACAGGCTCCTCTCCTATCAGGTGGTGGATTGTGGACCTTCCAAGATGGTCAGTATTTGAATAGGATATACATGTAATGCGATGACGACACCTTCAAACAGATACTCATTTGGGGATGTGGTCCACTTTTGCTGAACCGGATGGCTAGAAAGCTGCAGTTTCACAGGCGCCAACGGGCGTGGACCTCATGCTTCCGTGTACGTACAGACTTTTTAAAAACCCTGCTTTACTAATGAGCCAAGAAGTGAGTTGCACCAGCTGGGGACGGGGTGGAGTGGGCCCCGGGGCCAGGCCACACCGACGGAGCAGGTGGGGAGTGCTGGGTGCCCAGGCCTCTGGCCATGCCCGGGGGGAGCCGGGGTGCTGCTCTCAGCCACGTGGCGAGGCAGAAAGCCCTGCAACGCAGCCCCGGACCTGGCGCCCGGCTCACCGGGACGCCCACAGCCACCGGCGCGCGAGCCAGCCGCGCTGGGGAGCCCCTTTCCTCCCCCCATCGTTCCGCCCCGTCTCGCCTCCAGGTCTGAGCCCACCCCTTCCGCTCCAGCCTGTGGCTTCGGCCACCTGCACGAGGCCTCCAGCCCCTCTGACCTGCGTCGGCGGTGCCGTGGGGCGGATCCCTCGGCTCGGCATCCCCCTGGCCCTTGACGGGCAGCGGCCTGCCCTCTTCGGCCTGCGCAGCGATCCCGGGCCTGGTGACTGGGGACCCTGCGAGACAGAGAGGACACCTGAGGACGGAGGCCACATGTGTGCTCGAGAGGGAACGCCCCTTTCCGGGCACGGGGGCCGTGGCCGCGAGCGCAGCCCCTTGGCAGCCGGGGCAGCACGGCCCGAGATGTCCGGGGGAAACACGCAGCTCCAGCCCAAATCAGGCGCAGCCTTTGGGGTGCTCGCGGCTGCCGCCCCGTCGACATCACCGCAGCCGGCTTGGGAGGGCCCTCCCTGCCTGCAGCTTCCGGCGTTCCCGGCTGCGCCATCCTGCCGAGCGGGAAGCGGCCCAGCTGGGAAGGGCCTGCTGGACGGAAGCGGCCAGCTGAGCGGGGAGCCGCCTGGGCAGCAGCGACCCGGCTGCAGCCCCTTCAGAGGCCGAACGGTCCCGGGGCGGCCCGGTCTTACCCAGAGCGATCGTGGCGCCGTAATTCTCCCGCATGGCGTCCTCCCGCGCCGCCCAGCCTCTCCAGCGCTCCGGGGTGAGCGACAGCACCGCCTCCTCACTCCGCACCGGCACCTGCAACGTCCCACGGCAGCAGCTCTCAGTCGCCTGCGGCTGCCGCCCACCGCCTTGGCACACCTGGCGAGGCAGCCCCAGCCCGGGCACCCCGGAAGGCGCGGCCCCCCAAAGCACCTCGAGGAGCGGACTCGGCCAGGCCCAGCGCAGGTCGAGTGGCACACCGCCCGGGGGGGCTCGGCGGAGCAGGGCCCGCCTGGCCGGCACCTGCCTGGGGGGCTGGCGCGGCTCTCCCCCCCGGGCACAGGGCCTTGGCACGCAAAGCGTTGTCCCCCCGCCCCCCGAGCTGCAGGCCGTGCGGCTGCTTCAGCTCAGCCACGGGCAGCGTTTCTGGCCTGGCACCACACAGCACGGGCCTCCCCGCCCTGCCGACCCCGAGCCCGGGCAGGGCAGCCAACGCCAAGGCCCTTCCGCACGACGCCGGGTGCCCAGAGGTGCCCTTGTGCCAATCCAGGACGCCTTGTCCAGGTCCCCCTTCCCCAACCTGATGCCTTCCAGATGTGTCAACTACAAGCCCCATCATCCATAGCCCCCCCCCGGCTGCACATGCTGTGAATGGTAGTTCTGCACCAGGTGGGGGCAGTGCTGGGGCTGAAACGCTCCAGGGCTCACGCCCACGGGACAAATGGACCCCCCCGCCAATTCACGCCTCCCGCTTGGCACGTGCCTCCAAGTCAGTGGCCGCGCGTCCGACTGGCAAAGCGGGAGGCGCAGAGAGGAGAGGCTGTGCTCCAGGCAGGAGGTTTCGAGGGGTGGGCAGTGGGTGGAACAGTCCCGCGGGCCAACACCTGGCTACCCAGGTGGGGCAGGTGCCCCGGAGACCCTCCGAGCCCAGGACTGCAGCGAGCGTGAGGACGGGACCAAGAGTCGGAGCCCATGAGAGAGTTTTGGGGATCCAGCCCCAGTCGGCCCCCTCCTGATGCTGCCTCCACCGGAAGCCAGAATAAATCTGCTTGTCTCTGAGTCCAGAGGCACCCTGTCCCTCCTCCTCCCCGAAAGGCCTTTGGTGGATTTTTGAAAGCTCTCTCCTTGCTGTGGCCTCGGGATGTCAGCCTAGGGGAAGGCTCGGTCCTGGCCCTGCGTCCGCGGCAAGCAAGCAAGCCATTCGGGTCGCCGCGTGGAGGAAGGGGAGGTGAGGGAGCGCATGACGAGCCAGCCCGGCCCCCCCCCCGCCCCCGCCCCGAAGCACCCGGCGTCCCCCCCCCCGCCCCGCCCCCCCCCCCCCTCCCCGACCCCCACCTCGTCCCCCCCCTGCCCCCGCGGCCCCCCCCCCCCCCCCCCCCCCGCCAGACCTCCTCTCCTCCCCACTTTTCCAGGCCATGTGTCTGGCATTGCCCCCCACCCTCTGCCCTTCCCGTGGCCCCCGCTCTCCCTTCCACGCTGGCCTTGTCTTCTCGCTCTGCCCCACAGCTGGGAGTGGCTCTCTTGCGCTGCCCCCTGGGGCCACCCCCTCAGCAGCACCGTTCCAACCACAGGCACAGCAGCGGCGCCAGGGCTCCTCAGCAGCAGTGTCTGAAAGCACATGGCCCTGAGCACGTGCAAAGTGCCTTTCCCTGCCACGGAGCCACTCCCCACCCTCCCACACAAAAATCTGGGATTCCGGACAAGGGCGTCCAGGCTGGAGCATGGCCACCGATGGTGGAACACCCCTTCCCTGTGGGCCAAGCAGAGGAAGCGCCGCCAGCAAAAGGCCGGGAAGTGCTGCTGGCATGCGCCCTGCAGACGGCACCCCATGGGCGGCCACATCACGGCCCGTCGCAGTTAACGCTAATCACTCGGAGGCATTACATAAGGAACGCCTCCTGCTTCGGGCTCACAGCCCATGGCCCGGTCCCAATCTGTCCGCGGGGATGCGTCAAGCGTGGCGGCTGGGGCAGATTCCCCCACGTCCGGGGATGGGGGCAGCTGCATGCAGAGCGTGCGCCTCAGGAGCAAGGCCCGGGGGGTGGGGGGGGCCAGGGCACTCCGGAGCATCCTTTCTCCAGCCTTTTCTCAAGGACCTTTTCTGGGGAAAGGCGGGGCTCCCCGATCCCCCTGCGCTGGGCTGCCCAGAAGCGGCCACTCGCTCCGGACTCTGCCCAAATCGCCAGGCGCCTGGGAGGACAGGGGGGCATAAAGGAGAGGGACCCATCTTTCCGCCATGCACACTTTGCCCAAGGGCTGCAAGAGGGAGGCCGAAACTGTGTCCCGATTCTTGCCCCGATCAGCCACCAGAGGCGGGGTTCGGAGGTGGCCCACCGGGGCTGGAGCCCCGACGTTCTGAGGGCCCCCCCACCCCACCCCCGGGATGCCCAGGGGCACGTGCCCAAAGTTCAGAGGACTTCGTGGCCCCTGTTGCATCCGAGTGGCCTGGACTAGTTGGGGCCCCGCAACCTCTTGCGAATGACTTGGAAGAGGAAGTGCAGCGAAGGACGATGGGCTCTGCGGATGAGGCAAAGCCGGGCGGGGCAGCCCATCCCCCGAGCGAGACGGAAAGAGGATCCGGGGAGATCCCAGCAGGTTCGGACGCTGGGCTGAAAGCCGTGAACGAAATTCATTTGGGACACGTGCCAAGTTCCGCACCAGGAAAAAGACGCCAGAGGTCTCGTCTCGAGATGGGGCTCCAGGGCCCTGTGGGTGCGGAGGACCATGGAAGAGCCGCAGGTCACAGGCTGAACCTGAGTTAGCTGCGAAGGGGCAAAGGCGCCTTCAGGCCACATGGGTGGAAGCGTCACTTCCGCATCCTCTTTCCCCTTTTCTGGGCCTGCTCAGGCCCATCTGGAGTGCTGTGTCCAGTTCTGGGCACCACGGTTTAAGAAGGATGCAGAGAAGCTGGGAAGGGGTCGGAGGAGGGCAGCCAGGATGATCCGTGGGCTGGAAACGGAGCCCAGGAAGAGAGAGGAAAAGAGCCGGGCGCTCGGCCGCGAGAGGAGGAGACTGAGGGGGTACGGTCACTCTCAGCAGGCACTTGAGCGGCTGCCGCAAAGACGGAGGCCGCGGTCTCTTCTCCGTCCTCCGAGTAACAGGCTCAGGTGACCACAAGCCTGGATCTGGCTGGATACCCAGAGAAACTTCTTGGCTGTGGGCGCAAAATGGCCAATGGCGGGGGGGGGGGTCCCCACACGGGAGGCACTCAAGCAGCCTCTGGCAGCCCTCTGCCGGGGATGCTGGAGCCTGCAGCCCTGCTTTGAGCAGGGGGCTGCCCACGATGGCCCCTTCCAGCTCTCCGGTTCTGTGAGTCCAGGACTAGCTGGCTCATCTCTTCCGCACCCAGAATTGTCCTGCCTGAGACTTTCCCCTGAAAGCCACTGCTCTCTTCTCCACTGCCCATAATTCCCTTTTTACAAAAAGGCGTGTCCCCACAGAGACGTCGGAGCGTGCATAAATTAGCATATGCAAACCAGTCCCCAGGCCCTCCCCTCCGGGTACTTAGCACCACCCAGCCAGCCACCGTCCACGGTCCACAGCAGGCAGGTGAGCCACGGATCCAGGGCCTGCTGGGGGCTCGGCTGCCCCCGCGGCCTTCTGGGGTTCACCGGCACTGAACGCTGCGCTGCCCCTTCAGCTGTTCTCGGAACGGGAATGGATTGGACCAGCACCTTTCTGGTGCGACTTTTCTTATTTTTATGAGACTCAGGGCTGATGTTATATTAAGCAAGATATAACTGTGGATCAGGGCACGGTCCTGCACGTGGGGCACAGGGACAGGACGGGGGGCACGTGGCTGGAGAGCAGCACCCGTGAAAGGGATCGCGGGGTGCCTGTAGGCAGCAGGCGGGACGTGAGCCAGCCGTGTGACGCGCCGGCCAAGAGGACCAACACCACCCTTGGCGGCAGAGCCAGAAGCGGGGCTTCCGCATCCAGGGAGGGGTTGATACTGCTCTCCACAACTCCGGTGCGCCCGCAGCTGGGGTGTCGTGTCCAGTTCTGGGCTCCGCATTATAGGGGAGACACCGCTAGGTGAGAATCGGCCCCGCGCAGGGTCACAAGAGGGGGAGCCGGGTTGGGAGGGGTGATATACGAGGGGAGGTTGAGGGAACGGGGTCTTCTCAGCCGGGAGAAGAAGAGACCCCGAGGTGATCTTGTAGGGTACATGAGGGAGGGCCGGGAGCTGTTCCCCCTGCAGTGGAGGGCAGGATGCATTCCAGTGGGGCAAAACTGAAGGAACCGGGCTTCAGGCTGGATGCCAGGAAGTCCTTCCTGACGGTTAGGACCCCTTATATATGGAATGGGATTCCAAGGCAGGTGGTGGCGGCCCCCTCGGTGCGGGGTTCAAGGACAGGCTGGACATGCACATGGTGGGCCTGTTGTGAGCAGAGCTGGCTGGAGCCGGGGATCAGACTAGATGGCCTGGGAGGTCCCTTCCGACTCACTAAATTTCTATGTTTCTAAATATCACGAATGTTAAAAAATAGGCTGATTCTGTGTCACGCCATCCCCTCCGTCTGCTCCAGCTTGGCTGGAGTTGGAGAAAGGGGGCTGCGAGGCTCCTCGGGGCGCAGCTCAGCACAGCTGTGGGCCTGGGCAAGGCTGGGGGCCGCGCAAATGTCACCATGGAAGTCGCGGCGCAAGAGGCTGCGCCCGCCCCGCCGTGGCCTGCCACGAGCCTCCGCGTCCCAGGACAGTCTACCAGTGCTGCACAAGGGGGGCAGGCCTGCAGGGCCGCAGCTGGCCCGGGGGAAACAGCAGGCTGAAGGAGCTGGCCTGATCCTGCCTCCCTTCTGGGGATGACTGCCGGCCCGAGGCGGATGCCGGGAGAGGGAGGCCCAGTAGGGCAGGGGGGGCTTGCGCGGAGGTCAGCCAGCCCTCTGCCGGTCAGCGGGCTCCGGGCAAGGGCTGCACGGCTCTCCAGCACCCGGAAGCCCCTTCGCACAAGCAGCCTTCCCGGCAGGGGGATTCCCACGGACGGCAGCCACCCCGCGGAGGTGTCCACGCCGCAGGCTTTCGCGGTGCTTCTGCGCCCTGCAGGGCTCTGCTGGGAGCGGGTTCCTACCCCGAGGTTCGTCCTCGTCAAAGAACAAAGGCGCCAGAGTCTCTGGGCATGTACAAAGCGCCTTCCCTTACCACAGGAATGCCCCTGCCCGCGTGTGCAAAGGGGCTGACATGCTCCGGAGGGCAGGAAACCCGAGGCGCTGGCGCTGGCGCTGCCCCTGCAGGAACGAAGCGTTCCCGCCCGGGACCAATCCTGCAGCGCGCCGGAGCCTCCCGCGGGCTCTTCCCTCCGCGAGCGGGAATGCAAGGCCACGATCCGGGCGAACCGGCGCCAGCCGGGAGCACCTCCCGCGGACTCGGGGCCTTTGTTCCGCGCCCCACGCGCGCCGGGAGACGCGCCGCGCCGCGCCGCGCGCCCGCCCGCCCGCCCGCGCCGCATCGGGCCTGCTCCGGGGCTCCCGCCGGGCCCGGCAAACATGCAGACGAGCGCCAACCGCTCGCCCGCCGCATCCCGGCGGCGGCGCGTGTCCAGCCCTCCTGCCGCGGCGGCTTACCTGCGCGGCGGCCCCCACGGCCATCCGAGGGCCCGGACCCTCGTGGGAGCGGATCGGGCCCGCGCCGGCTGCCCAGCTCCGCCCGCCCGGCCTCGGGGGCCCGGCCGGAGACGCGGCCCCGTCGCGGGGCGCGGGGGCGCGGGCGGGCCGGGGCAGGGCGAGGAGGAGGAGGAGGAACGCAGGGGATCGGGGCCGCGCGCCGAGGCGGGTCCCGCGGAGCAGGATCGGGCCCGCCTCCTCGGCAGACAGCGGCCCCCTCTTCCGCGGCCGCCCCCCCGCCCCTCTCCTGCCCGCCGCCGAGCCCCGGGAGGGTTGTGCAAGCTGCCTGGCTCGGCTGCCGTGCGCGCCGCCGGGCTGTTCCCGCACGGCAGCCCCGCTCGGGGAAGGAGCGCGGAACTACACCTCCCAGCAGGCTCCGCGGCGGCCCGGGGTTGGGCGGGGCTCGGGGGCAACGGGGGGCGTTGCGATGCGACTCCCTGGCTTCCGTTGGTTTGCTAGGGCGAAGCCCGTTGCGGACGCGGCGAAACGGCCGCCCCGCCCCCGCAAGCGATCTGTTGAAGCTTAAGGACTAGCGACTTGATGGCAGCGTAAGGCCGCTCCCCCGGGGCAGCCGCCGTGCCGTGCCGTGCCGTGCCGTGCCAAGTGCGCGCAGCCGGGAAGCAGGAGCGCTCGGCTGCGTTTCCTCGCGCAGCCGCGCGCTAGAGGAGCGCGGGGAGCGCCGCCGGCCCCGCTGCGCACGCCCCCGAGCGGCATCCCGAGCGGCAGGCCACGGGGGGCGGGCTCGGGGGCCGCGGGCGCCAGGCGCCCAGTGCTGTGAGCAGCCGACGGTTCCCGCCCCGGGTCGCCCGTGCTCCAGGGCCCCGTGTGCGAGGCGCAGCCGGTGCGGGCGACACCGTCGCTCCGAGGCGTGCCCCACCCGGGGCTGCAAGGGCGCCGTCCATGCGCGCCGGGGCAGAGGACACGCGTGCGGTTCGCCCCACGGCCGCGGTGGCCACGCCGGGAAGTGCAGAACCGTTCTCGGCCCACCTGTCGGGTGGCACCCTGGTCCGAGAGGACCCGCAGCCTCGCCCTGAACCCACCTGGCCCGGTTTGCGCCCGTCGGAATGGGTGCTCCCCCAGCCCTTTCGTGTGCGCGTGAAGAGCTTTTGCAGTCCCAGCTCTCCGGCCATTCAGCTTCCTGAGATGACTCTGGGTTCAAGGGACACGGCTTCCTCCGTGCGCGCATCCACCTCTGCTGACCTCTCTCTCTTTCCAGGCCGGCCGCGGCCAACTCGGGTCCCGGGCACAGGCACAGGAGAGCAAGGCGGGCCGCTTCCGCCACGTCACCGCTTGCTGGCTTGCGCCGGGTGGCCCTCACCGCCACGCCGTCCTGTTGCCCAGGCTGGGAGATCCCTTTGGAGCACTTCACAAGCCATTTCTGTTTAGTACCTGGGAAAAATGCTATCCTTGGCAAATCTGGCTGCTTCACCGCTCGCCCCAACCTTTTAAGAATCTCCGGCCTCGGAGCAGCTCCCCTGGTCTCCACAGCGGCCATTGTTTCGTGCTGGGGATTTGACTCCTATTCCAATCCTTTGCTTTCTTTTCTCCTCTTTGACCAGTTACCAATCCATAAGAGGCCCTCTCCCTGATCCCATGACGGCTGTGTTTACTCAGGAGTCTGTGATGAGCAATGTTTGAAAACCAGATAAACCGTGTCATCTGTATCTCATCCACATATTACTGGCTCTCTGCAAGGACTCTGGCGGTCACCAAATCGATGCAGTGTCTCACTGCACACTCTTATTTCTTAGGCTCCCTTCTGGACGGGTTTTGATAAGAACTTGCTCAATGGAAAGATCTGGCAATTCCAGAAGCTGGCACTTTTGTGCAATTTCTGTAATGAAAGGTGCTTCATTCCATAGATGTTAGATTTCTTTCTCTCGGCCAACATGGCTGATTTTTTATTAAATCCCCAACAGATAAGTGAAGGTGGACTTTCTCTGCCTGCACCTCACCCGGTCAGTGCTACCTGTTGTCAGAAGGGCAGCGAGAATGATCTACGAGGAGCTGTTGCAGGTGGGATTGCTCTGCTTGAGCAAAGGTGCATCGGGGAGACATGCTAAGAGGTGCTTAAAATACTGCACGGTGTGGAGAAGGCTGGGAGGGGGTTCTCCTCCCTCCCCCACAACCCTCCTCGGGCCCCAGGGCATCGTCGTCCCATGAGGCTGCTGGGCGGGAGGTGCAGAGCAGGTCAGAGGAAGGGCTTCTTCCCACAGCGTGTAGTCGAAGGATGGACCTCGCCGCCACGGGAAGCGGTGGCGGGGCAGATTCGTGGGAGAGGCGCTGCCCGTGGCCACCAGCCGCCTGGCCACGCACTGCCGCCCTCACCGGGGGCCCAGGCCTGCGCGCAGCGGGTGCTGAGGACCGGGGCGGGGGGGGGGGCTCTGGCACACGTCCTGCGGGAGGGATCCCGGGGCAGCCGGCCGGCCGCCGCGTGTGCTGAGCGCCTGGGTCTGATCCAGCAGGGCTCTCTCATGTTCTCGTCTTGCGACTCAGGGGCCGAGAGAAACAGCCACGGCGTCAGTGGCGGGACGCGTGTCTGCCTTGGCGTCACTGCTCCACACGCGCTGCATCTTCTGGGGAAGAGAGGAAAAGGAGCGGGCAGGTGGCGTGGCCAGCTCCGTTCTCGTGCTTACCTGGCGGGGGTCCCTGGCATCTGCGAGCCCCAGAAACGGGGCAGCCAAGCGACATTCTGCGTGGCAAGCGAGGCACTCCCGGACATCTGTGGGCTGTCAGCGTGCCGCTTTATCCTCGCGTGCCGCTTTATCCTCCTATTGCTACACCTGAAATCCCGTCTTTTTCCCTCTTGGGCTTCCCCCTCAACAGCCCTGCGGGGTAGGCTAGGCTGAGCGAGAATGATTTGGCTGGAAGGGCCCAGGGAGCCTCAGGGCCAAGAGGGGACTTGAACCCAGGGCCTCCCAGGCCTGCTCCCGGAGCGCCACGCTGGGGCACCTCCTGCAGAGTCCTCCCGGCTGGGGCCTCCTGGGAAGCGGCTGCTTTGCACCTGGCCGTATCCACCATGGCAGCCCCCTGGGAATGGGCACGTCCCCCAGGGCATGCTCACCCCCCCCCCCGGCTCAGGAGCCCACGTTTCCCTTTACAGCGGCGCTGGCTTGTGCTCAGGAAGGAAGCAGGACTGAACCCGGAGCTGGGAAGCCCAGGGACCAGCGGCACCCGCACAGCCGAGCCCAGCCACCCCCGCCAAAGGAGACGACCACACAGCTGTGCTCTGCTGGAGCTGTCACGCGATCCTGGCGTTGTGGGTCGCTGTGGGGAGAGATCCGTGAGCACAGCAAAACAGAAATATCCCCGTATTTACTTGACTCGCCTTCCACAGTGGCACCCTTTTCTGCCTTCAGCTGGGGGACTGGTCCCGCACGCTTCCTGCCCAGGCCAAGTTCCTTCCCCAGAGAAAGGACCTGCGGCCAAGGTCCCCTGCCCGGCAGCCCGTAGTTCCCTCCTCGGGCTTCTGCCCCTTTCAGCGCAGCTGCCGTGCTCAGGATGAGCTGCCCCGATCGAGGGCGCTCACTTCTCCCGTGCCTGTGATTCCCAGCGGGCACTCAGTGTGTGCCCAGTGACTCCAGAGCAGTGCCCGGTTCTGGGTGACCTGCGTCCAAGTCCCACCAGGTAACGGGCGCCTCAGGTAACCCTGGCTCACCTCCCTCCCCGTCTCGCTTCCCCCCACAGAAAATAGGGCGAGGGCCGCCTCACCGCCCTTGCGAAGGCAGCGGAAAGCCTCGCCAAAGCACGGGGAGACGGCGGGAGGGGGGGCGTGTTTGTTCTCTGGCTGCAGAGGCAGCGGAGCGGTGTGAGAGTCCAGAGACGAGATGCTTTGGGGCTGAGCCCCTCATGGAGTGGGGGGAGCACTCTGCTGGGGGCTGGAATTCTTTGGAGAGATGAGCTGGAGACCAGGACCTGGGGATAAGCCAGATCCGTTTGTGGGCCGGGCAGGATGGAGAAGCCAGCGGGGGGGCCGAGCACAAAGGAGAAAGCTTGGTCAGTGTGCGGAACCCCTCGGGGCACATCCTGGTTACGCAGAAGTTTCTCTGCTCCCCCCCCCACGCAGGCAGAGCGTGCCCTCCGCCCCCCCTCCAGGCCCGGCTCAAGATGGAAGTGGGAGGAGGCCGAGGCAGCTGTCCCAACTCCTCGTGCCCTTCTTCCGAACGCACAGCGGGACGGAGGACAGCGAGAGAGAGGAGGGTCCCCAGCATCGTCCCTCTTCCCGCTGAGCCCAAGGGGTGACGGCCACCCCTGCAGGAGCCCCAGGCCCCACCCCGGGCAGCTCCCTGGGAGAGGGGAGGGAAGGACCCCCCCATCCGCTGAAAGCCCAGCCAGCAGCCGCTCGGTCCGGGCTGGGCCACCGCAGGCCCTCCACTGCCTCGGCCGGCAGAGCCCATCATCCCTTCCCTTTGGCTGTGCTGGCTCAGGCTGATGGGAGTTGTAGGCCCAAATGCCTGGAGAACCGGGGCTGCCCACCCGTGTTGGACCGAGGGACTCTTGGCCGGACCCCGCCAGCTTCCCGGGCGGAAATGCCTCATCTGGCGGCCCGCTTTCGAATTCTGCGCACGGGGGGGGGGAGCCGCAGCCCGTGGGGGGCCGGCAGCCCTGCTCCGTTCCCGCACGCCCGATTCGGCTTTGTTTCTCTCCGCCTTGCTTTCAGGCTGCGGAGGGCCTTGAGCGCGTGTGCAGGCCGCTGCAGCGCTCTTGCCAGCGGACCCGAAGGGTTCGGGGCCGACGAGGCGCGGCAAGTACGTATCATGAAACCACAGACCCCCGAGGGAAGGACCCGAAGCCCCTTGGAGGCCGCGCCCCGTTCCTGCAGTGGCCCAGGGGGTGTCCCGGCGAGAAGGCCACCGGGGGGACACGAGCACAGCAGCGCCTGAGGCACGTGGCTTCCGAAACCGCCAGGCCCCGTGGCAAGGACGGGGCAGGAGACGGCGCCCTTCACGCCCCCTGCAGGGCCACGCCACCCACGCCTGGCCTGCCACATGGGCCTCGCGGTCATGGCTGGGTGGGGGCTGGAGCCCGGCTCCCCCCGCCAGCTCCGCCACTCCAGACCAAACGCTCGGGCTCTCTCCACCAGGTGATTGTGATGTGCAATCGGCCACCCCTCCGGGGGCTTCCTTCGCAGCACTGGCAGGACCCCCCAAAAGCAGTCAGGTGCAAGTGGGAAGCCACGAGGAAGGGGGCAGACCGAAGGACCGCAGTGGGGCAGGCGAGGGAGGCTCTGGCAAGAGAGATGTTCGCATGGAGCAAAAGGAGGAAAGGTGTCGTGAGCTGGGTGGGGCGGACCAGAAATCCCCCGCAAGTGGGTCCCTCCAGGTGTGCTGGACTGCAGGGATCTGGACACACCTGGGCCCTCAGGTGGGGACTGCTGCTGGGTGATCTCCCCATACGGAGGCACGAGCCGTGGCTGGCCAGGATCTTTGGAAAAACCCAGCCCTGCTGTCGCCGCCCCCGCACTGCGAAAGCCCCTTCCTGGCCGCAGCCTGGGACTCTCCGGCTGGGGGGAGGCGCAGTCCAGCGGGGCAGAGCGAATCCGCAAAGCCCCTTTGATGTGGGAGGCTGCTCTCCAATCTGCCCCCCCCCCCCCCCCCCCCGAAGCCGGCCCATCCCGCAAGATATAAATGCCCCGGTGCCGAGGAGCCGGCGGCCGTCCCACTCAGCCCTGGACCCCGGCCACCCCGTGCGGAGCAGAGCTGCCACCCGGCGGACCCCACCAGGTGCGCGGGGGTCTGTGGAATGGGAAGGGGGTTCCCCAAAGGGAGGCTGAGCTCTGAGGACGGTTGTGGGGCAGGACTCCACCCTGCTGAAAATGCTTTCACCACAATTTGAGTCCTGCAGAGACGGCTGCTGATGCTTTTAGGGACTTTCCACCATCCCCTGCACAGCATAGCAGTTGGCCTGGCTTTGCTCTTAATACTTTGTAATTTTCTATACTGGGAAATGCTTGGTTTTTAATTGCACTTGCAGCCCTTGCTTTTATGACTGGTCGTAAACCACCCAGAGAGCTTCGGCGGTGGGGAGGTATGGAAATGAAAGGAGTCGCAACAGCATGATGGTGCCAAGGGTTGTTTTCTTTCGTTTGACTCGTGGCTCAATTCGAGGCAGATTTCCCACAGGTGCGGAGGGGCTTTTGGGACAGAGATGGCTGGCCTCTCACAAGCCGGGCTCGCTGCTGGCTGCAGCCCGTTGAAATGCGCTGCCTGTGGCTCTTCCTGCAGCCCAGGTCTTGCCTTGAGCTCTTTCCAGCCACGCACAGCAAACGCTGCAGTGGAGTTTTGCAGAACACGGGCCAAAACGCTTCATTCCAGAGAGCACCAATTCCTCCTCACCACACCGCCCGCCACTTGGGGACTGGAACAAGAATCTCCCTGTAACTTCATAGAATCATAGAAAAGTTGAGCTGAAAGGGGCCGTGAAGGCCATCCAGTCCACCCCCTGCTGTTGCAGGACACCAAGTCACACCATCCCACTCAGGTGGCTGTCCAGTTTCTTTTTGAGTGTCTCCGGTGTGGGAGAGCCCCCACCACTCCAGGCGGCTGGTCCCACTGTCGTCTTGCTCTGACAATGAGGAACCTCTTCCTGATGTCCAACCTGAATCTGGGTTGCCGCAACTTGGTTATTCCATGTCCTGCACTGGTATCAGCGAGATCTTGACCTCCCTCTTTGTGACAGCCTTTGAGGTCCTTCTAGAGGGCTCCCATTTTCCTCCCCCCCACCCCCCCATCTTCTCTTCTCAAGGCTGAACATGCCCCGTTCTCCCAACCCTCCTCGCAGGGAAGTGTTTCCAAATCCTGGATCATTTTTGTCGCCTTCCTGTAGACCCTTTCTAATCTGTCTGCATCTTTTAAAAATCTTGGTGCCCAGAACTGGACACGGTATTCCAGGGGAGGTCTGACTAGTGAGGAGTAGAGGGGAACTGCTACTTCTTGTGATTTGGAGTTTATATTTCTATTAACGCATCCCAAAATAGCATTTGCCCTTCTTGCGGCTGCATCGCATTGTTGGCTCATGTTTAGCCTGTTGTCCACAATGACTCCGAGGTCTTTTTCAGTTCTGTAGGGCCATGTATTCCTCATCATGTATCCATGCATTTGGCTTCTTTCTCCTTGCCTTGCTCGCTTAAGCCGAAAGTCTGTGCGTCCCGCAAGCCCTTTTCTGGGGTGCACCCGATCCCAGCTTAGAGTTCACCAGGATGCACAGAACGAGACAATACCATAATGCTATATTGTGCAAGCAGAAGCAATACCTCTACTGCATCTGTTTTATTGTCTTGTACTAAACATAGTCAGAGCATAGTCCTGCTCAGAGTCTGGGACTCAGAAACATAGAAACAGAGCGAGTCAGAAGGGGTCTCCTGGGCCATCTAGTCTGACCTCCGGCACCAGCCGGCTCTGCTCACGACATGCCCACCATGTGCACGTCCAGCCTATCCTTGCACCGATGGGGCCTCAACGACCTCCCGGGGAAGCCCATTCCACACCCTCGGGGTCCTGACTGTCAGGAAGTGCTTCCTGGCATCTAAATTGA